GAGAAACCCTATAACTGTTGGCATGATGAGTTGCAGAAGCGTACTCACGGTGCGCCATCGAGAATGCTGCACGATGAGTTAACACAAATTCAGCGGCAAGGACAGCGGCTTTAGACAATAACCCCACCTTCTGTTCATTAAGGTACACCACAATATTTTCAGAAAGACATGTCTTAAACTCCTCCAACAGGATCAACTCTTTCAGCTAAGTAAAGTTCTCCGCTTTACTAGCAGCCAACCACTTGTCAAATAAGACAGCTGTCTCCCATGCAAACTCCACAAGCATTTGGCTGTCGGACTTGCTACACGAACAAAACTTTTGCCGATACGCCTCCGGGACTAATTCATAAGCCTGCAAAATAGTGGACTTGACAATCTCATAATTCATACTGTCAGCAATGGAAAGACTCTCACAAACCTCCTGCACTCTTCCTACTAATTTGCATTGCAACAACAGACTCCAGACATCCTTTGGCCATTTTAAAGTGGTTGCGATGTGCTCAAAAGCAGTGAAATAGGAATCAACCTCTCCCTCCCTAAAAGCAGGCATTAAACTGGTCTACAATGGGTCGTACTTACAGGGACGGGAACAGTGTCCTTCGCTCGAGAAGGATCTAGCTCCATAGCTCGTATGAGAAGATGCATGAGCTCGACTTCCTTGGCCTTAGCCTCCAGCTCCACCTCCTTCAAGCAAAGGGCAAGTTTGAGATCTTCCGTCACCAAACCCACCGCAACCTGGCCAGTCAGGTCAAATTTAGGAGATTGAGCGGCGAATGGAGCTTCCGCCCCCGACGTCATTCACCCTTTAGAAGGTTTCGGGACAGCCCCAGCAGCTTCCGCCCCCACTGCCGTCTCCAAACTCCCAGACCCACTCGGCGAAGTTTTCATGCTCCCAAACACTCCCCTGTCCACCAGTTTCTCCACCAAACATTGTTTAATTTCCACCTTCTTAGTGCAACGGAACATCCACTTTGAATAAATTAGCCACTACTAACAAATCTGCTTTATTGCACCGCTCCAACTTTTCAATGGAGGGCTGTTGCGCAAAATCATCCATGTCAAACGACATCATGAGCAAAGCAAAAAAGAAAAACACAACTCTGCAGACAACTAACCGCATCCAATTACTCTAGGTCCGCAAAACTCGCGCCTAACGCATAGATGGATGACACTCTCCCTTTTTCCTCAACTCCCACATTGACAGTCCCCCCACCGTAAACATCAAAAGGAAACAAACCAATTACACGAACGAAAAAGGGACGAGCCCCTAGGTTAGTATCTTGTAGCATCCAGAGTGAACATCAATCTTCCCACTAAGTAGATTACCTAAAAATGAAGAGTTGTTTTCGCCCAGTAAGCTGAGTGTTATAATGTAAACAGTGAAATGTAATTGGACGTTGGCAGAGATGCTCTTTATTTCAGGCAATGTTCAGGATTAAAATGTTGAAGCAATTCCCTGACTCTCACTGTCTTTGTGTCTTTGTTTAGAAGCAGAGCGACACAGATGGATCCAGTTCTCAACCCTGTCGTCACTGTGGTGGTGGGAAAGACTTTCGCTGTGACCTTTGTGGAAAAACCTTTAATCGGCAACGGAACCTAAAATGGCACCAACGTAGACAATCTGGAGACAAAATGAACTACTGCAAAGAATGTGGGAGAGGCTTCCCCACACTGAGTCATTTAAAAATACATGAACTCATTCACAGTGGAGTCAAAAAGCACGTGTGTGACCAGTGCGGGTCATCCTTCACCACTGCAAGTGAGCTTAAAGTGCATAAACGAGTCCACACAGGAGAGAAACCGTACAAGTGCAAACACTGTGACAGAAGCTTTTCACGGTCAGGTAGTCGTAACCTTCATGAACGTACACACACTGAAGGGAACTTCAGCTGTGACCAGTGTGACAAGAGCTTCAGGAATCTCAGTTCATACTCCGAACATAAACTAGCCCACGCTGCAAATAAACAGTTTCACTGTTACCAATGTGCAAAAGCATTCACTTCATTATCTGCTCTGTGCAAACATCAGCGTGATCATGCAGGACTGAAAACACTGGATCACAATGAATCTGATGGAACAGAAAGATCCTCTTCTGGTTTCAGGGTCAGACTTAAAAACTTTGAGATCAGGCTCCACAGAGTTCAGCTGGAGTCTCCTGTAAAGAGTGTCAGCTGATGTCATGCTTGGATCTGATGAGGTAGCTCTGATTTCTGGACCTGCAATTAATAATCCTGCCTCTTAAATTTATGAAGTTGCAAAGTATTGTCGTCCTTCCTTTTTCTTTTAGTTTTCTGTCATTTCTTAAAGATTGTTTTGCCTGAATGTTGAATCTCTCTGTCACGGTTTGGTCAGTAAATCTCATGTGGCTGGCTGCACTTAGAGGGAACCTGCTATACTGCACATGAATTCAATTTTGCATTAGATATTGTTGAATTCTTCTTTATTTTGTTGTATCCCTTTATGGATGTGTAAAGGAAATAAATGCAGACATAATGCATGGTTTACTACTGATCTAGCTAACCTATTCCACGAGCACAACATGGCATTGGCCAAAGTCAGGAGAACTAACCTCCACACTGATTGGTTGCTTTTCAAGCAGCTGTGTGATGCATACACAGTTGTCATTAGAAAGGTCAAAGCTGATCATTTTCTTGTGGAGACTTATAGGGGCTATTTCAAACAAATAGCCCCTATAAGATTTGGGTGATGATAAAATTACCTTGTAATGAAACTGTTGTTTGGCTTAATGAACATTTTATGATGTCCCTGAAACTCTAAATCAGGGGAGTCAAACTCATTTTACATCACAGCTTCTGTGACCTTTAGTGGGCCAGCCCAGTGAAACTCCCCTTTCTGTCAGTAATGAAATTACATATTTAACTGCTTTTATACACAACAAATGAGAAAGAAAGAAATCTGTCAACATGATTGTTTGTACTTGAATTGTGAGAAATAAATTTAGAATTGCAGAAAAAGTTCTGACTGTACAGTTGTTG